AATTCATTTATGAAAATAAAGAGTCCACTCACAGTTGGTCCGAGCTCGCTAGACCTTTGGAAGGTCCCTCCTGCGGGTCAACTGGTGCCCGAGTGCCTGATTCAAATACCATATTAAAATATATTAATAAAACGCTCGGTATAAATATTCTAGAAGTGTGTGCATCAATTTAAAGTTATTCATATGCCCACATTACGTTCCTTTAATCCTAGGACACAAGTTCCGTGAGTTTGGTCTTGATCGAACTGTGGGATTGGTCACAATCGCACGATCAACGGTTCTTCAAGCCTTAACCCTAGGGTTCGCGATTTCGGAGTATCTGGGACACCGATTCACGATCCGTCGAACCCTCAATGATCCTAATATTGTCTAGATTAACATATCTGAAAATGATTATGATCCAATGGTTTGAAACTATTGAACCCGGATAATGCACAATATGTAAAAATCTGTTCGAGGCTCAAACGGTATCTAAATTGAAATCCGAGCATACCGTCGTGCTCGGGATGATGTGGAGAACATTCTAGGGCAAAAACCCAGCCTTGGCACCCCGTCGACGCGCCGCCACCACTGGTGGGTGCATTGAGAAATTTTCCGGCGATCGGAAAACTCCAAACCGCCGGCCAATAATCATACCTACAGATTAGGCACATCAAGGGGAGTAACTTTATACCTTGGCTCGACGATCAATTCCACCTCTAAAGCCCTCGAACGAAGCTTTCTGTCTCTTAAAAACCTAGAAATTTTAGTTTTGAAATCAAAGAAATTGGAATGGATTCACGCTGGGTTTTCAAAGGATAACACAAAGGAAAGGTAGGAGAGTACTTTAGGTGCAATTACCTGACCTTTGGCGGCCGGAGATGACCGGAAAATACCCCGAAATTTACTGTTTGAAACAGCCCGTTTTTGGGCTCACTTTGGCTTGGATTCTGGCTTTAATTTCCTTAGATTTGGGGCTACAATTTGGTATAGATGTGTAGAGGAGAGAGAGACGAAGAGAATGGATCCAAAATCGTGGCCATAGACGGCCGGAATCTTCATTGAAGGCCGCGGAGGTCGTGGCTGGCCTGAACAGAGGAGAGAGAGAGGTGGTTCTGCGTGAGAGGAGAGAGAGTGATCAGGTTTTTAAAAACTGGCTTTGCAAAAATTACGGTTCTACAACTAGACTTCCTTTGATCATAACTTCTTCGTCACAACTCCGATTTGAGTCTATTCCGTGTCTACGGACTCGTTTCGTCGCGCTCTACGCAACAGTACAAGTGGAATGGTCAAATTCTTCTTCAGTCAAAAGTCAACTTTCCTTTAATAACTTAGTGCAAGGGCAAAAACCCAACCTTGGCACCCCACCAACGCGCCACCACCACTGGTGGGTGCATTGAAAATTTTTTCGGCGATCGGAAAACTCCAAACCGCCGGCCAATAATCATACCTATGGATTAAGCACATCAAGGGGAGTAACTTTATACCTTGGCTCGACGATCAATTCCACCTCTAAAGCCCTCGAACGAAGCTTTCTGTCTCTTGAAAACTTAGAAAATTTTAGTTTCAAAATCAAAGAAATTGGAACGGATTCACGCTGGGTTTTCTAAGGATAACACAAAGGGAAGGTAGGAGAGTACTTTAGGTGCAATTACCTGA